CCCCGGTTGCCCCCCCACTGGCCCCGGGTCCCCGCCGCGCTGGGGGGCCCTGGCACTGCCCTCCCCGATGCCGTGAGCCGGCCAAGCGGCGTATTTCCAGCCCAACTGGTGTAAAAATGCTCCAGGAGCGACGTGGACGCGTTGAGTTGTCACGTTCGAGGTTTATTAGGGGCAGGCGTGATGAGCAGATAGCCCCAGCGGTGAGAAAGCCCATGTGCTGAGCTTGGATCAGGGCCACCTTCTGCCTCAAGATGGATCTTAAATCAGTGCACAGATAGACAGAAAATAGTATCTTATTTAAGAGACCTCTAGAAAGCTCTCTTTTTCTAGATAGGTTTCTAGGTATCTCTAGCTACTTAGGACTTGACTCAGGGCTTTCAGGAGTAAGGAAGGTTCATCTCAGCCAGCGTTGGCCACCAGCCACGGAGGTGATGTCCAGGCTATCCATCTAGAGCTCCCCTCTAACAGACGGGAAGCAAACAGACACTTTTGGGTGTGATTCACCCAAACCAGGCATTAGGATGACCTAAGCAGGCGTTCGAGTGAGAAGACTGGCACTGTACGAACGCCTCCTCCTCACCATCGGCTGGGAGAGGAGTCCCAAGCTTGGAGAGAGACGGCTGGAGAAAGAGAGGGTCAATCCCAGCCCGCGCAAAGGAGCCACCTCGCTCTTCTGGGGCCTGAGGGAAAAAGGGACGCATTTGCAGGTGAATAATGCCATTAACAGGAAACAAAGGTGCAGAAGGACAGGAGCCATCTCTCCCAACTCCCTTCTCCATGGGTTTCTTTCTGCTTTCCTCCATGCTGAGCTTGAAGACCTAAAAAGCCAGTTATTCCCACAGATCCCTAGCTGTGGGGAACCACTCCAGGTCCAACAGCCCCAGAAGGTCTCGGCTGACCTAAATCAGCCAAGTCACGGGCCAAGTGACGGAGGGCAATTTCCCCGCCTGGGGTGGCAGGACCACAGCGTCCGAGCGCTGCAAATCACGCACTCAGACGACAACTGAGCAATAAAAGATATTGGCCTCCTCTCCGCAGCTTCAGAATAAAGCTCTTGCGTGGTGGCACGAGCCTGAACGCTGCTTTCCCGTCTTCACCGCCCGGGAAATCCTCGCGTAGAACTCGATTTCTCGCTTGGTTCGACGCTGGCCCAAGGTCAGCGCTGGCGGGGAGTGGAGCCAACCAAAAGCGAGGCCAGGCAAAGCCTAGAGGAAGAAATAACTTCTCTGCAGGGCTCCCATCCCTTCCAACAGCGTCCCCCATCCAGGGCATCTCTTCTCACCTAGTTAAAGCCAGGACCCAGGATGAGAATAAAGCAGGTGAAAATACATCCAAGAGAGGCCTCCTAAGCTTAAGTGATGCAGAGCGAGCGAGGTCCACGCAACCGTCCCCGAGGGGCTCTCGCCGGGAGGGCAATCGGCACTGCCAGTCAGCCGTCAGCACACATCTGACTCGGATACCTGCTCCCTCGGCCTCCAGCCACCGCCTCGCTGGCCCACGTCCCACCTCATGTTTGCAAGTCCCCGCGGAGCTTCCCGGGAGCCGGTGTATTTGGAGGCCACAGGCGCTCGCACCGTGGTGGCCTCCCCAAGCTATAAGCCCGCAGGCACCTTCGCCCTGACCAGCTCCTCCAGCGCACGAGACCACGGGGAGGAGGAGACGGGCACGGCGAGCGGGTCGGCTGGAGATGCATCTCCATCTCTCTGAAAGCAACGGCTTTCACCAGGTCTTTTTTGCTCATGGAAGGTTTTGTCAAGGACAAAGGACGCAAAAAGTCTTGAGGATGAGTCTAGAGGAAGGAGCCAAGGTCTCTGCTATTTTAGGTCCTTAACAGAGGCGTTTAATTTAGGATGCCGCAACCTAGTTCCCCTTCTGCTCCGTGGAGAGAGGCCTCCTCACTCCATCTAAGGGCCGAATCGCTTGATGGAGAAAAAAAAGAGGGAGACCAAGGGGAAAACGCCTTCACCTATCCCATTTGGGTCAAACATCTGGGCGTCTCCTACGTCTCAGCCCAGAGCCTCACCCACCACCTCGCTTCTCTCTTACAAACCGCCTCGTGGTCTCACCTCCTGCACAGCAGGCCTCTCCCCCAGGGCAGGGGTCTCCCAAGGCCTTTTGCTGCTTCTGTAAAGCCCGCGCGCCCCTACGAGCGTGCGACCGCTCCAAGAACGAGCCAATTTTGCGCCGACGTCAGTTGTTTTTCCTCAGGGGGATAATTTCAGCCTCCCTCGTGGCCGCTGGTTTAACTCCTTAAAGCAGCTCGGTCACAGGCTGCCTGTTCACAGCCTCGATCCAAGCGAGGATAAGGATTACGAGGCACCAGGAACCGGCAGGGTTCCCGCACAGCGCCCAAACGCACCTCCTGCCATCCACCTAAGGAAGAAACACAGTCAGGCACAGACAGAAAGTTGTGGAGTGAGTTTTAATCGCAAATAACACTCCCGTCCACGTTCTCACAAAGGTGCCCGCCAGCCACCGGCGTTTGTGGCTCCGCACCCTCCAAAATCTTACCGTTACAATGTGCTAGAAATCATTTTAAAAAACAAAAAAATTAGACAATGGGGTATAAATACATACAACTTCTTCGCAGCGTGCCGTACTCCTGCAGAAGAAAGGCCAACGCTTTCCAAGCCTGGAGTCTCGGCACCTAAATCCACAGAGATGCCGCACGTTGGTAGGGCACCTTGGGCAACGGACTCCCCGCTCCACCAAAGCGCAAGCAAGTCTCTGCTGTCAGGGCAAAACCGAGCGAGTTCAAGCCACCTGAGACCCAGGAGCACCTTTCCGTCCGCCCTGCCTGGCTGTAGCTCAGCCTGGGGCGGCCACAGCGTGCTGAGGCAGAGCTGAGCTGAGCTTTCCGCCGGCGAACCGAGCGGCGGAGCAGCCAACGCTGCCGCAGAGCGCAGGCTTAACCAACAGCACGGGCAGGCGCTAGGGTGCTATGCAATATATAAGTAGTCTAGGTTTCCAGAAGTCCTAAGAAATCAGCGGCGTTTTTCCCACTAAAAGGTCTCCCTTACAATTAGGTACCTTGCTACAGATTTAGGCACCAGCTTTAAGCAACCAGGGTTTGGATATAATAACCCTTGGCCTATCACTTTATCAAAAACCCTGTTTCCGAACAAGCAGCCTCCTGCAGGCCGGGGAACAGGATATTCACCAGCCTCAAACAGACTCGAGGCCAGGTCTCCAGCAGCCGCAAGTCAGCCGGGAGCCCCTGAACTCAAGTCTACAAACGCCCACCTGGCTCCAACTCAAGCATATGGGAGAGGCGCCATCTTCTTGCAAGCGCCTGCAAGATCAACTTGTTCCCCGGAACAAAAGAGGGAAGAAACGAACAGGGTGTGAGAAAGCTCAGGTAAACACTCCAGGTCTTCAGTGCTTTTTTTTTTTTTTTAAAAAAAAAAAAAAACAGAGGTAGAATAGATACTTCACGCTCATGCTTGCTCTAAAGGTGATGCAATTGCTCCATTACTCAGTTCCAGCTGCCACGTCCAGAGAACACTGAGGTCTTTGTGTGCCACTGCTCAGACTGCAGCAGCTTTGGGGGTTTGCTAAAATCCTGCATGGGGACTTCCTAGGTGAAGCTGAACGTACCAAGTCCCCTGAAGATACTTTAAAAAAAAAAAAAAAAAAGCCCTGTTTGCATTCGACATCTTCTCTTCCTCTCCTTTAAGCCAAGATTGAGGGAGCGACTCCTGCTCTTTGTGAATATGTGCACCTCTGCGATCCCTCTTTTATTAATGTAGCAAGAGAAAGGGTGGCTGTCCACCTCTTCCAGGAAAAGCAACAGTTGCTTGTGCTACAAGGAGTTAATTCTTCAGACTTGCAAGGCCTTTTTTCCAAGGCATCAGCTTTAGCCACACCTTGCTTTTTCTGGACAAACTTCGCATAGTTAGAGAAAAGCTGCTACGATCAAGTTCCCTCCCTGCAAGCCAACATTAACAAGCCCTGCTAGCAGCAACCAGCAGCATGCAGGAGCAACGCTAAACGGTAAGAAACTGCAAAGCCACATTTGCATCTGGACTTCCCTGAAGCTGAGGCAGCGTCTGGACAGGAGCAGGAGTAATTCAGACCTCTCCTGCAGGCTGGATCTCTAACAAGGTGCAGGAAGGAGAAACCCACAGGAGAGGGGAGGAGGCCTGAAACACTAAACTGGATTCGCAGTTTTGGGATTGATCTCTTCGTTGGCATCTTGGCTCTAGGAGCCCAGCAAGGGCACAGATGAAAGCAGGACTGGCCTGGTAGGTTTGGATTTGTTTGCATTGGATTCATGCCTTGATTTGACGTTCAAACTGAAGAGTGAAGGGAGTCAAATAATAACCAGAATCTGACATAAAAACAAAGTGAAGGGCGTAACCCAAGCAGAGTCAGCTGAGGCACTTCACACTGTAATACTCCCTTATTTAGACAGTCTCTTTCACTCCCAGCAATCCCAAAATTTGTTACAAATCCAAGGGTATTTTAGCTGCCACTAAAAAGCAGGGGTACCTAGCATTAAGCAGTCCCTATAAACTAGGTGTGAGCAGCGGCTTGCTTTTTGGAGATCTTCCAATTTTTTACCCCATGCCTGGGAGAAGCTAGCCCACGATCGTTTTCTAGGGCTTCCCAGAGGGCAAGTCATCTGGGTGAGATGCATAAAACTTCTATTTCTAGGAAGTAAGGCCATCTTGGATCCTTCTTTTATGTGCCTAAGAGAAACAAAACGCAACCAACGCAACGCTAACCAGCGGAGTCAGCTCCAGAGAAGGAACCCAGATGGTGGACGCTTGCAACTACTTTCCCAACTGATACTGCCACTGTCAAAGAGGCGTCCTGAAACTGGGAAGGTGAAAAGCCTCATCACAGGAGCCCAGGGATGCAATGACTGACTGTGACTCGCCCCCTCTGAGTCACTCTGAAGACTTTCCTGCCAAGCACGGGGGAAAAGAACTCGTGTCAAAGCCGTACTGAAGTGAGTCACTGAGGTATAAAGACCAACGTCTGAACCACAGCCGATCCACACCTTCAGGACTGGGAGGTCCATGGCTGTCGTGCAGGTGGAGCAGATCTCTTTGCATGGGCAGCTCCAGGGAATATATTCCCCAGATAACGAAGAAATTACTTTCTCCAGTTTGCAGTTAAGTCGGGCCAGCAGCAGAGACACTCAAAGTAACCTCTACCAGAGGTATCAGCCACCTTGGAAGCTGTATCTCCACTTCTGTCGTGCATCCAGCCTGGCTTCACAAGCTGTAGAGCTCATATAGTGCTTCCTGCACCAAACCTCGAAGCAGAAACGCTGGAGAAAGTAACACAGAAGATCTACAGGCCTGAAGAGAGTCAGCTAACAGCCTGCACGGCTTATCAGCTTGGGCATGGTGTCCAGCCAGCTCCATGTGGAGCCCGTTGGTCACCTCTGCACTGCACTTCCCCGCGCAGCTATAGTACCATTTTGCTGGTGTCTGGCATGCTGGCAATTTGTTACTTGGCATGCAAAGGTGCATGGGAGACCAGTATGGCCTGGCAGGGTACAGAACTGGCCTTCTGCTCCTTCCACAGGTCTTGCAGGCTCTCCCGAGCCTCTCATTTCCACCTCTCACGCCAAGCAGTGCAGCACAGTGAAGCACTTTGGGATGGATTAGCAAAAGCAGAGCTTTACATGCAGGGCTGCTCCCTGGGCTAGGGTTGCACACAGTCAGCGAGGTGGCTGACGGAGAGCAAGCACTCAGCGAGCATCCGGTCACATTTCTCAGGCAGCCTCCTGCTAGCCACGTGGCTCACCAGGCCTGGGACAGGCGGTGCTTAGGTGCTCGTAGCTAGCAGCGAGTGAAGGTACCCGTTCAAGCCAGGCGTACAGCCAACCTCACCCTGTGGTGGGGATGACGCTCCACCTACCTTACACAGCTTGTATTACTAAGTGCCTCCACCGCTTACTCAGGTGGAGGCACCCTCAGCAATTTACAGGCCAGGATGGACTGCTGTGATCATCCAAATTTGACCCTCAGCATAGCCCCGGCCCCAAAGAACCCAGCTCCCCTTTCAGGGAAACATTATCTCCAAAGCGTCTCATTCTCAGCTTAATTTGGGATGGCTGTAGCGATTCCCACACCCAGCTCTCCAGACTATACCCTGCTGCAAAGATGACTCAGCTATGCACGTAGTCACTGCGAACCGCCACAAAAATTGCAGTCCAAGGTTTTCAGGGAAACCAAAACTCAGTATTGATTTATCTTAAAATCCCCTTTACCTTTATTCTAAGCTGTAAAATGCAAGAGCTCAGAAGATGCTTCACAACCAGCTGAGGAACCCCGATAGGATTAAAAGAACCGAGGACTAGATGAGTTGGAGACAAGACAAGAAACATTTTAAGAATCTCAAAGGGAGTTATTTTCGCTTGCAATTTAGAAATCCAGGAACATACAATTAAACACGCAGTAGATGATCAACAGCCACCTGCCTCGGCACCACAGCACACAGGGGAATGATTTGGGTGTTGTTTTCTAGCTTTTTGGTTCTAAAAGCACCTTCCTGGAACACTTTTCCATCCAGGCACAGGAGTAACAAGAAAATGTCTTGCTTTCCAAGAAAACAGCTATTGAATGTGCATGCCTATTCCTACCAAAGCATAACTGCTTAGCTCTTCCAGCAAGTCCTTACTGGATGCGCGCACCCATCAGCAGGGCCACTTAAGAGAGGAAGAAAACTAACCAAATCTTAGGACCTACCACAGAGGTGGCTTTCAAGAGAGGAAAAATAAAGATGACATAAAAAGGAATTGGTCATTTTATGCCTGGTTGTTCGAGGAGTTTTTTGGTTTGTCGTTACATTAGAAACGTGGGCGCTGCCTAAGCTGGTCCAATAATGAAATGGTAATATTAAAAAAGCAAACTACCAAGAGATTTGAATTTTCAACTCAGACTACTGAAAGGTCTACATTTTCCTAATATTTACTTAACTGTAAGAATGAACACTTTGGACGGAGGAAGCTTGTGTTGGAAGATTCAATACAAAACCTTTATCCTATCAATTACAAGGGTGAATCCCACAACAGACATCTCTAGGGCTTCCCTGAGCTTCTTAGCAATTTCACATTTCTGATATTTTAATTATAAAAATCCGATGGAATTATAAACAGACAATCCCCCCAAAATCACAGTCTCAAAAACCCGTCCCAGTCCTGCACGATATCAAAGAGCAAAAACGACAAAAACAGGGTATGGGGGAGGAAATGAACCTAACCAAAAAATGGTAAACAAAGTAATTCACTGGTCACCATTAAAGTGCATTCAGTTCCACCTCACCTCGCTGACCCTGCTCCTGCGCTATTTTCCCCTTCTCTCCCAAGGCCAAGCCCTACCGTGCCAGCTGGAGGAGTATGGGAGCTCACAGGCAGCAGACAGGAGGCAAGCTACCGCTCGTTCTCATGTGTCAGTTCACAGCACGAAGGACGTCGAGAGCCCTGAGTTAGCTTGATACCACGTTAGACACCTCAGAGGATTTCGTAACGTTTGCCGTCGTTCAAATCACAGTGCTTAGACTTGCCCCAGGGAGCTCTATCCCTTTAATACCAAGCACCTTGGTGGTGACTGCCTTCAGACGACACGCAACGTCTCATGTGGAAGGAAGTCTACAATTTCGTCTCTGCTGATATAAACGTCACCACTAACGTTTAAATCGCCAAAGCACAAAGCTGCGATAGGTTGTGCTGAAGTCAAAGGACTCAAACGCAACACCCAGCGACACACAGCTGGGGGTTGGCTCCCATTACCAAATTCTGGAGAAGCTCCGGAATCAAGAGATAATCTCAGAGGGAAAAACATCTCAAAACCCAAATGGCACAACCCAGCCCTGCTACTGTCTTTCACACGTGGGCATATCCCAAAGGGATCTGCTGCAGCACGACACAAGGGACGTGACCCCACCACGGCAGCGTGACTTTACAGACAGGGCGCCATAGTTCTGGCAATATAGGGCAGCAAGCCCACCACTTATTGCACATAAAACCAACGTTGTAGCCACAGTGTCTCAGAACAAGTGGAGAAATGTTCTTTGGGACCGGCCATCTGGAGAAAAGCCTCCGTGGATGTGTAGATAGACCTGCTTCCTGCTTGGGCTTGTAAGCTGGACATAGCACCACCCTGGGCGAGGCACTACAATCACAGCCAGCGCACCTTCAGCAAGCAAGGAGCACGGGTGAAGCCAACCCAGATCTGTCAGCAATTTGCCCTCACTGCTGGTGTTTGGCCAAAGCCCGCTGAAGTCGATGGAAAGTCACCAACTGGCTCCAGTGTCTCTGGATTAGTCCTGAGCCTGCTGAGGTCTTATTCTGCCTCCAACTAGAGCATCCAGGTCATTTGAGCTTTGTCTCTTGGCATTAGGCAGTTATCGTTCGAGTTATCAACGCAGAGGTGGGAGCCAGCATTCCCACTTCAGAAACGTAGACGTCTGTATCCGAGGATATTGTCTCTAGATCCCTCTGCAGTCAGTGGAGAGACAGAGAGGCGCTCCAAGGGCATACCGTATCATCCTAACACAGACATCTAAAACAGGACAGATGAATCATGCTCTAGAAGTATTTATTTCTCTCCACTGACCGCAAAAGGAACCTGGCTAGATCACATGGAGATGTCTTTAGGCTAGAGACATCTAAAATTAGGCAAGATTAATCCCACTCAAAGAGCGAGCACTGCAGCCTCTAATGGGGTAACAGTCTAGCAGAACACCATGGGGGAGAGTAACTTCAAGTCAGCGCTACACCTTGCCTAAGTCTGTCGTAGCCAAAGCATTCACTGATGAAGAAGAGGAAGGGGTGTGAAGTGCTGCCTCATAAATACTATTTACACCAGTTTGCTTAAATTAAAGTTTGTTTCTTGTGGGGAGGTAGACGAGAAAGAGACAGAGACTTCATACTGTGGGATCTAAAGATACCGTCCTTCCCGGTCACCTTGACCCCTGTCAGTTGTATGATAGGTACTGGATCAGTCGCTGCGGGATGTTTAGCTTGGCAATCTTCTCCAGCGCCCGCTGCCCCGCTGCTTTCCTCACAGTAACTCTGCAGAGCTGCGACAAACTCAGAGGCGTTTCTAAAACAAGAAAAGAGGATCCAAAGCTATCGTCGCAGCCCAGCAGATGGCTGATCTTTCTGCAGAGCGGAGACCTCCCGGGAGAGTGACGCTTGGCATCGCTCCCTTTGTAATCACGAACCTGTCTCTACTTACAAGGGCTCTAATTCCCACAGTACCCAGCGCCCAAGGAAGACATTGCAAAGTTGCCAGTGTGCTCTCTCGAGGCTCATCACACTGCCAATCCTATAATGAACACCGAACACATCTACAGCGCACTGCTCCCAGCTCCCTTCCTCCCCCCCTTTGCATCCCCCAAAGACCAACCACGTAGGCTGCAGCCAGAGGGGTTCATTAGATCATCTGCTCTGATCCACTGGGGCTATCCAAAGCCTTCAAATTTCCTTTGGTAATGCTGTATTAAGTCTCAGCAATGCCAAATAAAGGAATAAAACCTACTTCCAACCCATCTCCTCTGCTGCCCTATTTTTTCATCTAAGGATTGCATTAACCCTTGTCACTAAGCAGCTGAGAGCTCAGTACAACTCTCTAAACCCTTTCCAGACTGCCCCCAATCTGCAGCCCACAGCCTCTATCCCAGATATCAGTGCACACACACACACGCAAACACAGAGTTATGATGAGCCACGTTGCTCTGGAAGCCATCAGGGATAAGAAGCTACTGTCCCTACCCCGACAGCTTTGGCAACCATCAGCCTCCAAGATCTGTTCCTGTCCTGAATCTAGTCCTGAGCTTAATGATGCAAGTTAAAAACAAACCAACCCTCCCCCCCAGAGCCGCTATTAAAGTTATCACAATTCTGTTAGAACAGTCTTGTGTTAAAAAGCAACTACACATGCAATTCTGCCAGCAGAGCTGAGGGGGGCAGTAAACTCTGGCAAGATACAGTAAGTATTTACGGGCATGTAGGACTCGATCTCTTAACCCAGTTCAGCTGCAGCCAGAACAGCATGCTTAACTGCCATCTAAGAAAAGAGGGAAACAAATAACTTAGAGGAGAGACTGCTACACAGTCAAACGTCTCCTCCAAAATCAGATAGCCAACAAAGCTAAAGTTTAACACGTTCCCTAACCCTGCCGCAAAAAGAGTTTTCAACCGGATCGGTTCCTTGATCTCACTCAAGGCACCAAAGCATAAATGCTCATACTAACGTGACAGAGGCCTGAACGCAGTGAGGGCAAGACTTGGACCATTTTACCACTGTCATTAAACCACAGTTAAGCAAAGCTAGCCTGCTGTCAGCTGGATTTACCACCAAGAACTCAGTACCTTCATAGGAAGATGATCAGGGATCTACAAATCAAAGCGGACTGAGAATCGCTGACATGGAGTAATGGAGTTGGCAGTCATTGAATTCCTGGGATAGGGGATCACATCTCACTCACTTTCATAGTATTCAAAGCACTTTGCTGTGGGACTGCTGCTCCAGGTGTAATCGGATGGCTTCTTTCCTCGGTTGTCCCTCGCGTAAATGTTTCCTCCAAATTCAATCAGCATCTCCACCAGATCTACATTTTTCACTTTAGCCGCATGGTGGAGGGCTGTCTCGTGTAGTTTAGCAGCATTCACATTTGCCCCTGGGACCAGAAAGAAAAACAAATCTGTTCATGAAAGCCTCACTTGACTCAAATGTAAGGGATGATTTGGCTGGAGAAAAAAATGCCATTAAAACAAGTACAAGTGGCTAGAACGAGATCCAAACAAAACAGCCTAAACAGGAAACCAAACCACTGAACAAGATCTCAGTGCTGGCAACGCATGAGTTTTCTTCTCCGGCTTTCTGTTTTCCTTGCAGAGAAAGGATTTTAGCCCACATTACTAGGGAAATAAGCTGCTGAGTGTGACATTCAGAGCTGCTTCCTCAATCTGTGCTGAAATCTGAAGCCAACAGAGAGACATTCCCAGTCATCTCAACAGAGTGCTCATACTCAAGGTATACAGTGACATCTTTGTTAACTATTTTTATTTAAGAGAAACACTCTAGTCCTGTGAGATGCAGCAGCTCACTATCACACATTACTCCAGGATCAAGTCTTAGTCACAGGATATTTTTGCTGAGGAAAATCTGGCTTTTATAAGCTGACAGCAGAAGGTCCCAGAACTGTTTGTGTTCCTTCTCTCAAGCTGATTTGTTCAATAAAGGTGAGCTGAACCTCACTGAATTCACACAACTGACTTCAAATATGTATATCTGAGCAAGTCACACTGGACTCTCCTTATAATTAACAAAGGACAAGCAGGCATTTCTGGGGGATCAATTAATCTCATCTGAAAAAAGGTGGCCAGTACAGGGAACTGGGGGGAGAGAGGGGGCAGGGAACGGCTAGCTGAGCTGTCTAATTTTTAGACAGTTAATATTCAGCAAGACAAATCCCACCCTAGGCAAGATCACTTCCTGGTAAGGACTGGAATCGGACTTCCTGTTTTTGCCTAATTCCTCCAAAATTAGCTGCAGTGAACCTGGGATGTGAAGCCTGGAGCACAGAATACTTACTTGAATGCCCACCAAACTCATCTTGGCGCAACACTTTCCACATCTCCCAGAGACGTGAACTGAGCTCATCTCTAATTTTCTGTACAACATCAAACCCTAACATCTCTCTGCTATGCAAAACCATATGACTACACTACCAGTACCGAACCCACGCACACCAGTTGATACCAATGTCAGCCAGAAGTTGAAACACTGCTCCCAGGGGCTGAAGAGTTCTGGTTTTTATTAAACCAAGGGAATGGAATTATTGCTGGAGACATCATGAACTGGATATTGACATGCATACGCTGAAAAATGCTTAAGCAACATTTAGCTTTGCTTAGGTAAAACCAAAATCTTTCACCACCGTCACTGATGTCATGCTGCAAACGAGCAAGCTCTTCAACAAGAAGATCACCATGGAGCACTGAGAGGCAAGTGCTGCATACGGACTCCACCACATACTACCCATCCAGCAGCAAACCCCGTGGCTGCCATACCTGCCTTGAGCAGCAACTTCACACAGTCCAGATGCTCCCTGGCACAGGCCACATGCAGGGGCGTCCCAAAATGGCAGTCGTGGGCCTCCAAGTTTGCACCGACGTCTATGAGGAGCTGTACGCACTCTGAGCTACCTTTAGAAAGGGAAGATGTGAGTCAAAAGAAAGAATACAGCTCGGATGGGAGCACCTGGCGTGCGGACATCAGCGTGGCTTAAGAACTGCCTGCTTAATATTTGGGAGATGGCTGCAAAATACAAACGCGTGCATTTAATTTCCCTCGGGCACTAACAGGGCCTCCAAGGAAAACACGCGATGCCTCATCACTCACGCCTTTCAAAAGGCAATTGCACTAAAGGTGGACTATGACAACGCCTCTCCCCTTTATAGGGGAAGACACCCTACAGATAATGAAATTATTTCAGGTAATACAGGCATTACAAGACTTGGCGAGAACTGATGCAGAGACATCCGCATAGCTCTAGACAGAATCGGCCGAGCCCAGCAGGGCTCACTTACTCTATCTGAGCCAACGCGCTCTGTCGTAGGACCAAGACTGGGACCAGGGTACAAGTAACATAGTAACATCTGCGTGACACTAAACTAGAGCTAGCAGGCTTGGCAGGGAGTCAGCTGAAACAAATCTGAGTCCGAGGATTTGCACTCAACAGCCTGTGCTTAACAGAGCCAGTTGCATGGCTGATCCTGCCTTGGGTGGATGAGATCACCTTCAAGACCCCCTCCAGCCCTATTTTTCCCAATTCTAATAATATGACTTAACAGAAAGTGAGCAGTCATCATCAGTGAACCTTAGGAAAAATGTTTAACAAACAGAAGCGGGAGTCGATGGTTATTTATTTAATTATCTACCCACTTGTCGTGAATGCTGTCTCCCAGAGCCTCCATAGTCAAAAGGAAACTCTGTCCAGGACAGTATATAACAAAGATGGTGAATGGGAGGAGAAAGGAAACATTGTATCTTACAAAGCGGCAACTGAGGCACAAAACAATTAAGAGATTTGGCCATGACCATCAAACAGAGTCACTGCTTTTCTCACGCCCACGCTTTCCCACTGTTGCATCCACGGGAGCAGAAATTCAGAGGTGGAATTACGCCCACAGTGGAGCAACACAAGAAGGGCGCCTTTCCTAAATGCTCTGGGCAAACTTGGGGAACAACCCTGTCCCAGCAGCTGCTGAGGTTGTCCCCCCATCTCTCCCACTCCGGATGGCCTGATCACCTAGATCCTGGACAGAAGTCTCCATGTGGAAAAAGCTGCGAGACGGACAAGGAGCTCCCACCTCACAGCTTCCTCCAACCACTGCTGCTGCCACCTGGGCAGCAATAGCAGCTCTGAACAACCAGGAGGGGTCCGGGATGGGACTATCTGTTTAAAACAGTCTTAATTGCTCTTAATCAGAGCAATTTATCTCACCTTGACTTGGATCAGAAGGGAAGGATGCAAACTCCCCTCTGCTTGCCAGAGCAAAGCTACTGCTTTGGCTCAAAGTCTTCTAATAGAGGAGCAAGGAGCTGACGTTTTTCTGCCTAAGATCTTATCCTACGCCTGTCACGAGGGGATAAAAGCACCCAACACAGGGGACTGCTTTATTTGATGGATACCACAGCACTTTCCATTGCAAGTTCAAAGGGAGCTGTGCAGATTTTTGTCCAGATAACAGTCATTACAATACACAGCAGAGACAAGCTGACGTATTTTCCAGCTGTAACGGTTGCGTGAGCAACAAAAGCTTACAGTCAATTTAAGATTCTTGACAACTGCTTTTTTTCTACAAGCCCCAAGTAAAAGTGCACAGACCCGATGCCATGGGCTTACCGTTCATGCAGGCTTCGTGGAGAGGCGACGCCGTGTAAAGGGGAGGGTTCACCTTCGCACCGTGGGACAGCAGCACTTTCACACACTCTATGCTACCCGAGGCACAGGCGTCACATAGCGGAGTGCTGCCATCAATATTCCGAGCATCCACCTTCAAGGCAGAAAAACTGTTACGTACCCACCGGCTGTTGTGTGCCTTGATGATATTTTTGCTTCTTTTAACTCTGTAGAATTGTTCAGGGCTCAGGAACCAGGTGGTGGATACTGCCAGCAACCTGGCTCACACTGCTCCCAGCTCCCACCTCAGAGCATGCAGGATGCACACTGATTTCACAAGCAGCTTCTACAGTTTAGGATGCTATTTCCTTCCCAAAGTTTTGCCGAGCCAGGGCAACACAATGCACAAGTTCCTGTTTTACAGCAAAGTCAGGCTTCATGAGCAGATTCAACCAAGCTGGGCTGACTTTGCCCTGAGAAGGACTAGGAAGCGTACATATGCTTCATTTCACCAGCTTTGCTCTGAGGACAGCTGCCTTTAGCATGTGAGAAGTCACAAGCCCTTGAAGACAGTAAAGTCTCCAGCCATATCCAGAAGATGAAGTTTGCCAGATTTTTCTTTCCATAATAAAATTAAGTAATAGAAGAAACACAAGAATAAATATAAACCCCCATAGGAAACCACATATCCCCTGCTTCTCTTCTAGCTCCCTTGGCCTCGATCAAGGGAGCCCAGGGTGACTAAGCCTCTACTCTAATGTCCGAGCAAAGAGCCTAGAGTAAGATGGAGGGAATCTGGATCCCTGGAATAACTTCAGACATCAGGATGAAGTGGGACTTAGAGAATCTCGTTTTTCTAGATTAGTTCGACACATCTGCAAGGGATAGAGTTCTCTGGGCTCCTCTTGATCTCAGTGCGGGATCAACGTGCAGGAAGAGCTGCATGACTCAGAACAAAGCTATAGGACAGGAGCTTAGCTTCCCATTTTGTCCAGACCTCTTGGCTCAGAGCTGAATACAAACCTGGGCCCCTGCAGCCAGCAGGAGTTTGACACACTGCGTCTGCCCTCGCAGGCTTGCCTCGTGCAACGGGGTGATAGAGTCATAGGTGACTGCATTGACGCAGGCTCCACTCTCGATCAACTGCTGCAGCTGTAGGATTTCTCCCCGCCTGGCTGCTTCATGAACTGGCGTGCGATCAGCCCAGAAGCCTGGAGGAGGGAGGGGACCGAGGAAAGAAAAGAAAAAAAAAAATTCAGAATGAATGAGCTTCTGTGCTGGAAAAAAGCAGTTCGGCCAGAAGCGCAACATGGGCTGGCAGCTTGGAGACACGGGAATAAGAAGCTTATTCCTCACTGTGCTCCCAACTCAGTGTGCGATTTTAAATTAGCTGCTTCATGTTTCTGCGTTCTGCACTGAGCACTGACCTCACAGGGACTGCTCAGGACACGGGGCGCTCTTACGATTTCCTTGCTTGAGACTTTTTTCCAAACGCACAGCGTTAGTAGCATTCAGATAGCTAGGTCCAGACTCTTCCCATGTAGCTCTTAACTATTTTAGAGTTCGAGACACTGTCCCTCTTGGCTCCGTCTACAGCAACTGGAAATGGACATCTCCAGAGAATACTTCAGTCCATCTAAAAACTATCTTCCAGAAACGCCAGTCCCTCTCAAAAGCCAACAGAGCTTAGACAAGTTAAGTTCCTAACTTAGGCACCTTTGTTGAGTATCTGCATTTATATAGGGTGAGTCTGGGCTTGGCTTCCCAGCACAAACTGACACTACTGTCCCGTTTCAGGTATGCTTCGCTTACCAAGCTAGGAACAAGCGAAGAAGAGTCCTACATATTTTCATACAACCTTCAACAAGATAAATCCATCCTCTCTGTAAAAACACGTGCCTAGATACTCTGCAAAAGTAGGGTTTATACAACTCTTCCTAGCCCTGATCAACCAAGGAGTGGTCTTTGGCTTTGTCTTCAGCCATAAAACGCTGCACGGTCAGGCACTTCTGGCCGCCTCGCTGCACTGACACAGTCGGGCCTCCAGATCTTGCATGGCCAAGGGCAAAAGTGAGCTGGATGGTGCTGTTTGCATGCAGGTCAATACCAAGGAGAACCATCAGCAAAGCGGACCTTGCTACTACCCCTGAGAATATATCTCCACGAGATCTCTGTTTCAAGGCTGGAGAGGCAGGCACTTCCAGGCTGCGGGAGGGAAAGGATAGACAAAAAAAAGGTTGCTTTTTTTCCTTCTTTTTTTTTTTTAATAAACTCCAGCTCTCTGCTGGACCTCGTACTTGCAAACAAGGAAGGACTGGTCAGAGGTGTGAAAATTGGGGGCAGCCTTCGCTGCAGCAACCATAAGATGATGGAGTTCAGGATCCTGCAAGGAAGGAGCAGGGCAGAAAGCAGATAACAAGTGAATGTCACCCTATCTATAAGAAGGGCAAGAAGGAGGATCTGCAGAACTACAGGCCAGCCAGCCTCTCCCTGATCCCCAGGAAGGTGATGGAGCAACTTGGGCTGCGGCTCCTATCCTGGGCGCCGCTTCCAGACCTGAAGGACAGTAAGGTGATCAGGAATAATCAGCGTGGATTTACGAACGGGAAATCACGTTTAACCAACCTGCCAGCCTTCCTGTGGTGAGATGACAGGCTCGGTGGACAAGGGGAGAACAGTGGATGTCGTTTATCTTGACTTCAGTACGGCTTTTGATGCCGCCTTCCCTAACATCCACATAGATATGCTGACAAAGTGGGGTCTAGATAAGTGGTCGGTGAGGTGGACTGAAACATGCTTGAACTGCTGGGCTCGGAGGGCTGCGATCAGCATCGCAAAATCCAGCTGGAGGCCAGTTGCTACTGGTGTTCCCCAGGGGCCAATACCGGGGCCAATTCTCTTTAATATCTTCATTAATGACCTGAATGACGGGACCAAATGCACCCTCAGCAAGTTTGCAGGCAATACAAAACTAGGAGAAGCGGCTGATAAACCAGGAGGCCATCCTGCCATTCAGAGGGACCTGGACAGGCTGGAGAGATGAGCAGAGGGGAACCTCATGAAGTTCAGGAAAGGGAAGTGCCAAGTCCTGCCCCCACAGAGGAATAACCCCAGCAACAGCACAGGCTCAGGCCAACGACCTGGAGAGCAACTTTGGAGAGAAGGACCTGGGAGTCCTGGTGGACAACAAATTGACCATGAGGCAGCAATGTGCCCTTGTGGCCAAGAAGGCCAACGGCATCCTGCACTGCATAAGGTAGAGCATTGCCAGCAGGTTGAGGGAGGTGATCCTGCCCCTCTCCTCAGCCCTGGGGAGGCCTCACCTGGAGTACTGTGTCCAGTTCTGGGCTCCCCAGTACAAGAGAGACACGGCGCTACTGGAGAGAGTCCAGCCATGGGTCACAGAGATGATTAACAGAATAGAGCATCTCTCAAACAAACAAGGAGACGCTGAGACTGGGGACTGTTTAGCCTGGAGAAGAGAAGACGGAGGGGTGGGATCTTCATTTACCGGCATAAAGCACTGAAGTCATCCCAAACCAGCAGTTACGAAAGGTGCACCAGACTTTATAGGATAATACAAAGCAGAAGCCCCTTTTATGATCACCCCTTAAACGGGAATCACGAGTACTGGCACTTTTACAGCACATAATATGATGCGATCTTATTTATTGACTTGTTAGATTCTCATTCTCTTTGCCTGTATTCCTGGGCAGGACTTTTTGTCTTCCCTAGTGCTTCTGGCTTATGCCAGGAGAAGCAAGAAGAGGCAAAGTCCAAATGAGGATGGAGCCCTTGAATTTAGCTGCTAAACGGCACCACGCTGCCAGCAGCAGGACTAGGAAGGAGATGAAAAAGCTTCAGCAGCATTTAATTAAAAGGCTGTTATATAGTCCAAAATCACACAGGCAAACTGCAGGGTCCTCGATTTTCTTCCCTCTCGCTACACAATTCCTTTATGAGGCAGGGTCACATGAGAGAGATATAGTCAGTCATCACGGGAGGGGCTCAGATACTGTGCAGCTTCTGAGGGACCTTCCAATAGGACTCTTCGCACGGTACATCCCACACTGCAAGGCTTCCCTCCTTCCTGCGCCCTGGCCATCCACGCCAGAAACAGCTCACTGATCCCATCTGAGCTCCCACACCCCGCCAACCGGCTGCACGAGGGGGTTACGGAGCGGGAGGGAGACTCCAGCTAGGCCCAGATCTCCTGCAGCTGCAGCACAACGTTGCTACAGCTCACCGGGCAGAGGCAGCCGTGCAAGTCTCGGGTGCAATGCAGGGAACGAAGGGCTCCAAAATTGCCGCGTTCCTGATGCAACCGGCGGGCATCACTGCAAGGTGACCTTGGCAGTGCAGCACAGCCTAACACCGGCTGTCTTTACGATGGTCCATCTACGTGGGACGCTGCTGGACCCGGCCCAGCGCTCCCACCACCTTGCCCTGCAGCAGGCATGTGATACCTCGGGGGAAGGGTATCTCAGCTCCGGTGCAGGGACCCTCTCCGGAGAGCGTCCGCACCTCTCTCCCTCCTCGTTTCCTTGAGAGAGACCCCTTGCACCCGCCCCCAAATCATCCAGCCCTCTCCCCAAAGCATGACGCTAAGATTTTGGCCTTCTCCGTCCCAGCCCCAAAGCAAGAACTCTTTCCTCCTCCAACTCTCCACCGCCTCCGAAGAGGAGGCTTCTCCTTTCTCCATGTCCGCACCCGCCGAGGTGGCACACGCGCTCAGCCTCCACCCCAGCGCCCCTCTCCCCCCCGGCGCCCCACGCTGCCCCCTCTCCCC